AAAAAAAAAAAAAAAAAAAAAAAAAAAAAAAAAAAAAAGTTAAGAAGCTGGACTCCAAAAGGGTTTGTGTAAAATTAACGTGCTTTATGTACTTTATTACAGATAACATATGCTATTCCTCAATTTAAAGTTTTTTTTAAGCATATGTAGACCATAACTGTAACACTATTTTATACCCAACAACTGGCCTAAAATAAAAGTCTGACAATACAAGTGTTAGCAAGGATATGAATTGAAAGGAATTCTTATACATTGCTAATGGGAGAATATAACTGAGACAACCATTTTGGAATACAATCTGGCACTATCTTGTAAAGATTAGGCATGCACATACACTACCGCTCAATAACTCCACTCCTAAGCATCTCAGAGAAACTCTCACATATGTGCATCAGGAGACATGGTACACAATAGAAACACGTGAATAACTCAAATCTTCAACAAGAAAATGGATAAGTCATCAATGAAATACAACAGTGAAAATAAATGACATTCCGGGCCGGCCTGTGGCTCACTCGGGAGAGTGTGGTGCTGATAACACCAAGGCCACGGGTTCGGATCCCATATAGGGATGGCCGGTTTGCTCACTGGCTGAGCGTGGTGCTGACAACACCAAGTCAAGGGTTAAGATCCCCTTACCGGTCATCTTTTAAAAAAAAAAAAAAAAAGAAAATAAATGATATTCAATCACATGAAAAAATAGGAATGAATCTTATTAACACACTAAGTGAAAAAAAAAAAGCAAGTTTCAGAACATTAAATACAGTTTAATAACATTTTTATAAAGATCAAAACAAGCAAAGCAAAAGATACTGTTTAGGAACTTTTTTCTCAAATTTTAAAGAGATTAATAGATCCAAAACTCACAAGAGTGGTTACCTGTGGAGTTGACAGGAGAATGAGATAGAGAAGGAACACAGACATACACATACAGCAGGCTTAGGAATGTTTGCATTCTCAGTTTGGTGGTGGGTTCTTAGATGTTCATTTTATTATTAGACTCTGTAACTAATACACATGCTACAGATAATCTTTTATATGTGTCACTCTTTTTTTCTAAGTTTTTAAAGACAGAAAAAAAAGCTTATATATACCACGATTTATAACCATGGAAAAATGTATAGGAAAAAAATCAATGAAAATAAATTAAAACATGGCTATGGTTCTAGATTGGTAAAACTATATGATTCTATAATTTTTTTCAGATTTTCTATAATTTGATTATGCTACTTTTACATTTTTTAAAAATACAACCTCTGGAAGATAAATGGGAAATCAGTAACACTGGTTGCTTCCAGGGAGAGAGACTGGATGGCTGAGAAAAAGTAACTCTTCGAATGCTCTTTTTTACTTTGATTCTATGCCAAATCAATATATAACATATTCAAAAATTTTTAATTTAAATTAAATTAAAACAAAATTTTTAAATGTTGCCACTACAAAGACAGATTTCTTAAATTATTTCTTAAATTATAATCTTTTACCTAATAAAGTTTTCTTTAAAAAAAAAAAAAGGAAGGGGCCAGCCTGTGGCTCACTCGAGAGAGTGTGGTGCTGATAACACCAAGTCCACACATTCAGATCCCACATAGGGATGGCTGGTTAGCTCACTGGTGAGCGTGGTGCTGACAACACCAAGTCAAGGGTTAAGATCCCCTTACCGGTCATCTTTTACAAAAATAAAAATAAAAATAAATAAAAGGAAAAATAACAAGTTTTTAAAAATAATTATTACACTGTAATTATTTTCTGTGGTTCCCACACTGCAATGAGACACTCAAAGGGGCACTGCCAGAACATTTTAAATTTTTGAGGGAAACTCAACATCTGTGAGACACTGCACAAACTACCAGCTTCAGGTAGCTCACGTTAGTATTGGACCATGCTGCATTCCTTTCAATGAGGTCGTATCTTTGCAAAGCTGGGTCTTCAGCAGTTGCTGTGATAAATAAGTACCATGAGAAAGTAAACATGGAACAGGAAATGAGCATTGTGGTGTCCAACCTGATTCCAAGTTTGAGAAGTTACACAGTGCCAAGAGGCACATACATCTTACTAATAAGTAACTATGGTTATTTAAGAATGAAATAAAAATATTCTTCTTTCAATTCATGTGTTGTCATTCAACTTTTCAAACAGCTACTAAGTTGTTAGGACATATGTACTTATCAAGTTTAGACTTAAATAGTTTGTAAATGGAAATACCATTAGGTGTTTCTTGTGGCCTAGGATGTGCCATGAAAAAGCCATCAAGGTATTAAGGGTGCCATGAACTGAGAAGTTTGAGAACTTCTAATCTATCTGGAAAAACTCTACAGCTTCCCAAGAGAAGTATCCCCACAAAAATCCTAAAAGGGACGAGAAGTCTTAAATGTTATTCGTAAATGTCCTTTATCTTTTTTTAGAGAAATCTAAAGCTGAACTTTAAAGGTAATTAAGGTGTGATATAATAAATAAGGAATAAAGCTCTCTAATCACAGTAAGGTTTCTGCAGGTGATCTGCTACAAGGAAGACATATTGGTAAACATAAACTACCTTTACTTTTTTCAGTGAATCAGGCAAACTGAAACACACGTTGGAGAAAAAAGACTACCTACCGTCTGCCCCTCAACAGCGGCCCGCTGGCGCCCAAGGACGTCTTGTAGCTGAGTGAAGTGCTGGATGAAGGCTACCACTTCAGCCTGAAAGCGCTGCGTGTGTACATACTGCACAGAGGCCATTTGGAGGCTCACTCGAATGTCGTGCTCTCTACGGAGCAGAGGGTCGGGCCGTCCATATCTAGCAGCAAGGACAAAATGTGACTCAGACAGCAGCAAGATACAGGTTAGTATTTGAAAAAAATTTTGGACGATTTAGGGGCTTTCCTAGAAAACGGCTTCACTATTAAAATGGAAATCCACAATAAGGTTTTACAAAGCAAATTCCAATAATTATTCCCTGTCTAAGCTTCTACAGTGAGTTGAGGATGTTAAATAAAAGTCTGATGGGACAGCCAGGGCTATCAACAGATGGGATCTCACTCTTGATTCCAGAACTGACTTAAAGGCCACGTGGGGCACTGATCTTTCACCCACACCTCTTTTCCCTGTCTTTAAAGAAAAGTGAGTATTCCTGCCCATCCTGTTACTGGCAAAGATTGTGACAATATGAATTTAAAAGATAATAAAAATAAGGCCACGATATAATGGGCGAAGAAAATTAGGCATCAGAACCAATGTTTCTGGGGAAAACCATCTTCTGGAGGCAGAAAGAAGTCTTTTTACTTCAGTGAAATGTAGGCCAAAGTTTTGGAATGTCATTCAAAGACAAATTGGAAGATTTTACAAATTGTTTTGAATTTAATGGAGCATGGTGACATAACAACAAATTATAATAGAGGACACAGTCACTGGGGAAAGAACTCACATTGGCTGACAACCTATTTTGTGCCAGGCAGAGAATTAAGAGTTTTATATTAATTCTCTCATTTATTATAGAACCATACCACCATGGTATGTAATATAAGCAAATCAATCTAAATTCTGAGTAGAGTATGATTGACTCCTCCTGAAAATGTAAGAAAACGTCCTCAGACATCTTTTAGAATAGTTTCTCTCAAACTTGGTTGAACATTATTACCGTGTTAAAAAAGAAAAGAAAGTGACTCCTCCTGAAAATGAAAGAAAACGTCCTCAGACATGTTTTAGAATAGTTTCTCTCAAACTTGGTTGAACATTATTACCGTGTTAAAAAAGAAAAGAAAAGATAGAAAAGACTAAGCACCACCCAAGGCCAATTAAATCAGAATATTTAGGAAAACTGGATATCTATATTGTCAAACATCTCTCAAAAAGGTTGAAAACCACTGTTCTAGACTCTAACCTTCCGAGTAAACTATTCCTTAATAATCAGATAGGCCCATAGATGCCTTCTAACAGAAAGGATTCAACATACATCATGTTTATAAACAAAAAAGATGCATAATGTAATTTCTCACTCATACCATCAACATTCTCATGATGAAATCATTCCAGAACTTTTGGAACTAAACTAAAGCTTAGAAATGATCTCAGTCCCCTCAATATTTAGATAGAAAACTGACACATGGAGATTAAGTGACTTATCTCAGGTCTCATAGCGAGTTAGGGGAAAACCAGCTTGAGAGCCCAGGCCTTTTAATCATCAAAATTATTTGAATCATACCCCATCTGTTTATGAAGCCGGAGTAGCCCACTTCAGGGCAGATCGATTTTAATGAAATTTAATATAAATCAGGACTCCTCACAACCAGATCCTTTCAATTTTACCTAAGAAGGTAAAATTTTTTAAAACTTTCCTTCATTGTTTTGCCAACAACAATTTGACACAGCAAGTGATTATGACAAAATATCAAGCAAGAAAAGATCAATATTTTTACTTAAAAGTCTGAAAGATGAGTGCTTCCTCTCCACTTGTAGTGAATCGTTCTCTGTAGAACTCTCCATGGGATGTAAGGTCAATTAGAGACAGACTTCCAATGCTTCCCTGTAAAGCCAGGTCCGCTTCTAGGGATGTTAAAATTAGAACACATTATTATGTATTTTTTTTTTTTGTCATACACCTTAATTAGGTCTAGAACAAAAACTGATACACACATGCCCCAGACTTCACTCTTTAATCAAATTAAATGTCAAAAGCACATATCATATTCCAAAACACCCAGAAAAAATATTATGCAATATTTCAAATAGTCTCAATGCAGAAGTCCAAAGGGGATTGAAATAATATAGAAACATCACTCATTGACATTTACAAGCCGGGGACTGGCCAGTTAGCTCAGTTAGTGGTTTTGATAACCCCAAGGTCCAGGGTTTACTCCCTGTCCTGACCAGCTAATCAAAAAAAACCAAAAACAAAAACAAAAAACCCCACACATTTACAAGGGGAAAGAAATTAAAGTAAATGCATACACAATGCTAAAGGATAAAACATATACATAATACAGACAGAAACATGATCCTCTCGAAGATTAGACCACTGATTAGAATTAGTGAAACATCATAAGATCTATTAATTATACTATGGATAAAAGAGTAAAGGAGGAAGTGTCAGAAATATACCAGGTAGGGCCAGCCCCGTGGCGCACTCCGGAGAGTGGGAGCGCAGCGGCGCTCCTGCCGCGGGTTCAGATCCTATATAGGAATGGCCGGTGCGCTCACTGGCTGAGCGCAGTGCGGGTGACCCCACACCAAGGGTTGTGATCCCCTTACCGGTCACAAAAAAGACAAAAAAAAAAAAAGAAATATACCAGGTATTCAAGCAACATTAAGTGGGTTTTAATGTGATTTAATAAAAGAAAAAAATTAATGAGGTTGACAGACACTGGAGACATGGATTTGAAACTATTCTGATACAACAATATGAATGAATGAAGCCTCCAGAAGGTGGGTAGAAGAAAGATGGGATCTGGAACACTTACAACTGGAACCAGAGGCTGGAAGAGTGGGGGGAGGAGAAGGGGTGAACTAATGAGTACAGAGCTACGCTATCTATCCTAAGTGAATCATTGTGCAGTATTATACACATGTATTAAAACAATACATTATACCCCATGAAGATGTACAAGTAAATGTTAAAGTTAAAAAAGAAAAAGAAACTTACAACTAGACTGTGAACCTATAATGAGTCATTCTTAACACTGTGTTAATATGGACAAGGAATATTCTCAACTGTTGTTTCCACAAAATAAAATTTTTATCATCAAAATTATCATTACAAAAGAATTACTAAGGTGTATATACTCACACTAACAATGTTAGTTCAGCTCCCAATGAATTGAAGATATATATTTATTTTTGATTCGTGTTCTCTGACAAAAATATCCAAGTTTTTGTTTATTTTAAAGGCCAATCTATCCTCAGAAGCTTTTCTAAAATAATTACACCAGGCATGAAACCTCAGTTTCAATTCATTCCTTCCCCAAAAGACATTCTTGTTTTTACTACGGTATAACACTTGAGCTTTGTAATCTTTGCTATTTAATTACATGTTCCTTAAGGAAGGTGTGGTGTTTTAATTCACACTTTATAAACCCCTACTATTTAGAACTTGATGTTGATCACTTGTGTTCTACTAAGAATTTCAAGCTAAAACTTCCGTTAAAAAGAATGCTAGGGGCCGGCCTGGTGGCGCACTGGAGAGTGTGCCGCTTGAGAGTGCAGCGGCGCTCCCGCCAAGGGTTCGGATCCCATGTGGAGACTGGTTCCCGCTCACT